ACGAAAGTGAACTCCTCGGTCTATATACGTCGGGAACAAAACTCGGTTATATCACCATGTAAGAGCAAAAGTGCAACGCAGGCGGAATTAATAAATAGCTCTTAGTCGTGATAAAAGAGAAGCTCTGAACTCTAGTAAGAGAGACAATCACTTTGGTGCCCGTTGGTTTGTTGAGTTTTCTTGTTCTTTGGTTTCAATTTTCCTACCTCCATCGAAGAATTCGAAATCTGCAAGCAGGTTTGTATTCAGTTTCGGTCAGATTAAAGACAGTTTCAGTTTGTTTATCTTGCCGTTCAACCAGGTTCAAGTGACATTTGTGTATAAAGGCCAGTTTCAAGTTGAAGTCATGTGCTCCTAGATCGATTTTTACCATCCTCCTCTTGGTGGAATCGAAATCAGTCCACAGTTTCTTCATCAACTCTCCTTGTTGGTTCGAATTCTGTTGGTTATTTGAAGTCAGGCTGCCAGGTTTATGTGATAAGTTCATAAAGGTACAATGGTTAAGAAGAAAGAAGGACGACTTGGTGGAAATATTCCAGTCGGTCTAGTCAAACTCCAACCCGTCCCTCCCAAGGCTGTTCCTTTGTCAATTGTCGTGTCTCGACAGCAAAGTAAGGTAGTTAAGCCTTCTTCATCTACTGCTAATGATTCTAAAATGGATGCTTTAGAGGTTGCTAATGTTTTTCGGAAAGGATTAAGTGATGAGGACACGAATTCAGAAAGCTCAGCAGTTCTCAAGGTGCTGGAAAGGATAAAAATGAAGGTAAAAACTGGGATAACAAAGCTGCCCCTTGGGTGAACTTATTCAAGGATAATAGGAAACTTGAAGAAGGTTTTAAACTCCAACAAATTGTGGACCAATCTGAAGTGATTACCATGGATGCACTTGATGTAGATGATGTAGAAGATTCACGGGGATATTGTCTTCTTGCTGGCCGCTTCCCGGGTAAAAGGCATCACTCCAAATGTGCAACTAATGGAAGTTTGAATATCACTATTTCGTTCATGAAAGTGTGGTTGATTTTTAAATTTGAGACTGAGGCTTCAAAAGCAAGTGTGTTGCATGGGGGCCTCTATTTCGGGTTTGGAAGGTCATTAATGTTAAAGATAAACGTCCTGTTGTTTTGAATTTGATGATGACGAGGTGACCAAGCTATCGAAGCTACCTTTGGCTTGTTGGAACCCAAAAAGTCTTGGGAAAAATTGCCTCAAAAATTGAGAAACCAATTTCCACGAACAAACTCACATCAACTAAGCGGAGATTGTCTTACGCTCGAGTCTTAGTGGAAGTTGACGCATCTAAAGAGCTGGTTCGAACTGTTGCAATGAACTTACCTACGAGAAAATTGAGAGTGCAACCTGTAGAATATGAGCATGAGCCTAAGTTCTGTGCAAATTGTAAGATGTTTGGGCACACGACGGCAACATGTAACTTGAAAGAACAGGCTGCAAAACAGAATCAGGATACAGGGACAAAACTAAGCAAACTCAGGCTGGAAAATTGGGCAGAATGTTGAGGAAAATCTAGTCCGAGCATAACCGGATGCACAGATGTTTCAGGACAAGCAATTTCAGGGCACAGAGAGGAGGCAGAGCAGTGTGATGACCCATTCATCGAGGTTGTTGGTAAGAAGGCCACAAAATATGGGCAGAAAACTGTACGATAGACTGCAAACAAACCTGGGGCTAGTCAGGGCCGGTCCTGTGATCGTTGGGGCCAGAGGCAAAGTCCATAAATTGGGCCCCCGACGAAATCAACGTAAATGCAAAATTCAATGGTATATCTTGCATCTTATTGCTAACTTAAAACTTAACATTAAAATAATAAACAAATATATTATTTCAACAGTATATTATGCAACATAATGCCCAATGATTAATCTCAAAGACAATTATGAAATATCTCAATTATCTTACAATTAGAGTTTTCAATATAGTTACTATGTGCACCTGTGCAATTGTTGATCATATAATAACCAATTATATAAACTGACCAGGCCACCATTATATAAGCCGACAAGGCTTTAAACATTTCCAACATATTCAATAACAAGTTAAGGCAAGCCATTGCTGATTTGAGAAGTAGAATTTCGACAAAACTTATGGAATCACACCCTTAAGAATTCTATCGTCACAACTCTTAAGCTTGAAATAAAAATTTCATCATTACACAATGACCTATTGCTGCCTTATGCTAGTCAAGGACGCTAAATAGTAAATAGATACCCAAACGTGATGCAAGTTCAAATAGGACACACATTCTTGGATCAAAATATGTTGAACAAATTCTTATTTTCCATTTTGCAAATCCAATAACATTTTCGATTATTTACGCAAAAATTTGAGCATTACAAATTTATAGAAACAATACAAAATTAAAATGACATCCAGACTCCAGAGCTATCCCAAAAAAATTTGTGACCTTATCTTGATGAAATTAAAATGGATCGTCGATCACACTATCACAGGCAGAAAGGAAAACGAATGAAAAACCAATTTTGCCTTTAACTCCCTAAACCCTTGAAGAAGAAAAAAAGGCAAAAAGGGGCCAAAATTAGGCCCTCTTTGGTTTTGGGCCTGAGGCGTAAGCCTCAATTGCCTCAGCTCAGGACTGGCTATTGGGCTAGCGACGACAATCACATAGCATAGTCAAGGGCAAAAAGTTCTACAAACTTGCATGGATCGACCTCAAAGACAGAGGATAGTAGAGGTTCTATTATGAAAATAGCAAGCAACGTAAAGCTTAAAGAAAAGCTTGAGGAGCAAAGAAATATAGCAACTGTAAAAGATAAAAAGAAAGGAACCTCTCTTCTTTTATCATCATGAAGATTGGAACTTGGAACATTAGGAGTTTGAACCTGCCCCTGAAACAAAACTAGGTTTGATAGGGGAGACTGAAGTTTGACCGGGTGATGCATAATAAATTTGGAGGTTTATTGGAAATCAACAACTTTCTTACACATCAAGCTGGCCAGATTTTGACTTCGTGGAATGTCATGAAAGTCAACTTGGAAGTGTTGGAGACTACATTGCAAGTTATCCGTTGTACCGCTACTTGCAACATAAGTTTACTTACATTTCTTGTTAGCTTTGTCTATGCATTCTATACTATTGTAAGTCGAAGGTCGCTATGGAATAACATAATGGAGTTTGTCTTGAATTGCTCTCTATCTTGATCGATTATGGGGGATTTCAACAATATACACAAATTTGATGAAAAATGCAATGGAACGGAAGTTACCCCGTATAATGTGAAAGACTTTGAAAACTGTTGCCTTAGTGTTGGACTTACAAATGTGAGGTCAATTGGGTGTTTTTACACTTGGACAAATAGCTCAATTTGGAGTAAACTTGATAGGGCCATGGAGAATGATATTTGAGTACAAGCGGGATTTAATAGTCTTGCTGATTTTTTACCACGGGATGCCTTTTCGATCACTCACCATGCATTGTCTCACTTTTTGGTCAAGAGAGGAGCAAGAGTAAACCATTTAGGTTCTTCAATAGGTGGACTAATCATGAAAACTTTTATGAATTAATACAAAATTGTGGGGAACAAGAGGTTAGGGAACAAAGCAATGTACAATTTGTAAGAAGTTGCAAAGTCTGAAGGGGGAGCTAGAGAAGCTTAATGAGAAGCTTTTTGCACACATCTCCACAAGAGCCGAAACGACCACTTCGGCTTTGAAATTGGTACAATTGGAATTGCTTGATGATCCTTTTAATGGTGAACAAAGAAAGGTAGTATGCATGAAAAAAAAATAAAAAATAAAAATAAAAGGCCACAAGTCTATGTGAAGCGGAAATGAGTTTTTACTACCAACAAAATAACTGTGTGTAATTAAAGAATAGTGACAAAATAACTGTGTGTAATTAAAGAATAGTGACAAATGCACTAAGCTCTTCATTTGGTGGTCAATAGGAACACTAAGAGGTAGTTATATTGCAACCATACAAAAAGGTGATGGGACATATACTTCTCAAAAAGAAGTGGGCGACAAATTCATTCATTTTTTAGGTGAATTGCTGAGAATTAAAAGTCTTGGTCAGCCCATTGAAATTGATATCTTGAAGAGTGGATCTGTGTTACTGGAAGAGCATGCTAGCAAGAGATTAAAGATACACTATTTTTTGTATTAGGGATGATAAATCGCCCGTTTCCAGATGGATACACATTATGCTTTCTTTAGAATGTCTTGGGAGATCAATGGAAGTGAGTTCACAGGAGCAGTTAAAAAATTCTTTAATTCTAGCTCTCTTAACGTATCATACAGTCATTGCTTTGGTTCCTAAACAAATTATTCAACTTCTGTGGGAGATTTTGAACCGATTGCACGTTGTAATGTATTCTACAAAGTTATCACTAAGATCCTTGCTTCTCAATTAGGCCGTTACTTGGAACAATTATTGACCAAGCACAAGCCGTATTTGTGGAGGGTATGAGCATGAAGGAGAATGTTCATCTTGCTCAATCTATTTTGAGGCAATATAACGTTTAAAGAGTTGTTCCAAGATGCTTTCTTAAAATAGATCTCAGGAAGGATTCAGTAAATTGAGACTTTCTTACGACTGTACTTGAAGGGCTAAAACTCCCAATAAAATTCATTGGATGGGTGATGGAATACATTACTATGCCTTCTTACTCCATTGCGCTGAACGGTAGCTTTTATGGATTCATAAAACGAAGGAAGAGGCCCCGTCAAGGAGATCCTTTTATCTCCTTTCTTGTTACAAAGTTGTTCCATTTTAATGCAATAATGTGATTCTTTAACAATTAAGTATTGATTGTATTTTAAGTTAATTTTTAATAAGAAAAATTAAAATTAAAATAACAAAAACAAACGCTAAAAGTGAAAGGCCAGCTTCCCGTTCTGGGAGATGTTAAAAGAACAAATGCTAATGTGTTCAGATTGTATAAGCATTCAATCCTCTCTTAACCATATCAGGATCCATTTCCACAGTTCAAACCAATCTCTAACTATAAGTTAATCTAAACAAGGTAAAGTTAAAAAGTCATACAAGTAAAACATATTAAGAAAGAAGTCCAACGCAATTTTTAAGTAGCCAAACAAAGCCTATAACAGGACGTTCACTATGATACATCAGTTTACAAGCATGTTCTGTACCAGTATACCCGTTCAAAGAAATAATGAGACAGCATAAGAAAATTGTCAGCCATACATGGCAGCTTCTACTTTGCCTCATTTCCTTCATTTACTAGCATCAATTCCTTCAGTTACGTTCTCCTGTGATTCATTCCCATCAGTTTTACTAGCCTCGACTTCATTCCCATTATCGTTTCTATTCAGAACTATCTGCCCCACCTTGACATACTTCTCCATAAATTTATATTCCCAGTCTTGCAGAACTTCCAATTCTGAAGCACTCAGACCTTCTATGTTCCCGGTAAGGTCTTTGGGATCAAATGACATGAGAGCCAAGGCTCGGCTTGCATCTCGACCTGTAAAAAGGGCGTAGGGCCCACCAGGACCATAAAACATCCTGACAACAAAGTAACAGTATCATGTCAGAAACACTTTAAAATTTGACTGGAAGAGGTTAAACGTTTCAAAGTCACTTGAACATTTTGCAATGTCTCGACAACTCAAAAGGGGAACCTGAAAGATCAAAATGTAAAGCGCCATCTTTACAAGGAGATAACATTGCGGATAATATAAAACTAGAGAAAGAATGCATATGAAGATGAATGGTGACCAATTGAAAAACTTGCCACAACGAAACAAAGCTCAATGAAGGAATAGCCACCACCCAGATCCTTCGCAACGACCAATTTCTTGTGAAGAACAACAATTCCTTCCTCTCCCATCTCTGACTTACCCACATCAAAACATCAAATTTCTCCATCAACACATGTACCTTGCGTCTTGCGAAACTCAGATCTCGACTCTATCCGATTTTCTTCAAACTTCACACTCGATTTTCTAAGGGCGTGTTTAATTACGAGCATGGAATTTGTATAAAAATAAAATAAATTCTAAACATTTCAATTGCCTGAACATATTTTTATGGAAATTATTAATTAAATGTGTTTGATTAATTTAGTTTTCAATCTAGAAAATATTATATTTGTCCATTTTTTATTTATGGGTAGATATGAGGAGAGAGAGATAAGAGAGAGCGAATTACCTAGAAAACAAGAACTATCCCTCCCTAAAAAATTGTTTTCCTTGTTTTTGAAGAAAATATGGTCACATAACCAAAAGTTGAAAAAAAAAAAAATTACCTGTGAAAATAATTGTCAATCAAACACCCCAAAAGTAAGAATTTGACAGGAAAAATGACATTTTTCATGGAAAATAAAGTCAATCAAACACACTTTAAGCACTTTTCCTCATTGGCCCTGATTTCCTTGAATGGTTGCTTTAATACCAATTTATAGATTCCCAAACAATGTACATAATAAATTGATGTATTAAAATTATACTCTGAAGTGCTGAAAAGAAAAATAATGACAATTACTAAGAAATGAACGTTTGAGAGGTTCAACTTCTCTCCCATTTCCACTCTATTTCTTGGATGCTTCAAATGATATCTATCCCCAACCAACCCCCTATTTACATGGTTTGTACTACTTTTAATTCCTCCCCCAGACTACAAATGTAAAAACAATGTAAAGACAATGTATGTAAATGATTGTGGATTGAATGTGGCTTTCCATTTCCTTAGGTGGAATTGTTTTTCACCCTTTCCTTGCACCAGTGATACACGAATTTAGGAGTTATCAAAAATCTTTTGCACACACATCAATAAAACCAGCATCCTTCAACAATTAGTCCCAAACAGTGCGTCTGAAAGTACATATCAAAAGGACTATAAACCAGCAAAAATAGAAAGTAAAAAACCACTTCAATTCATCACTAAGAAATTTAGCTTCACGAAATCAATTTTAAGAGAACAAATACAGAAGCTCTGAAAGAAAATTGGGATATTCAGTTGTATCTTTTTTTCATATACAAGTGTTAGAATCAGAATCCTGCTATATGTTTTACAGCTATAGGGGGTTGAGAATTAATAAAAATGCAACCTAATTTGGAACAATTAAGCCCCCATTTGGCCTCCATTATTTTTCACTAAATTATAATTCATTTTTCTCTCTATTCTTATCAACTACACATTCTTTAATAAAATAATATTACATGTTAACCCAAAAACTTTTCCTTCTTTTTTAATCACACATTCTCCAAAAAACTATTATTCGTCTCTCATCATAATGTGGAATAACGGAGGCAAAACAGGTGCTAAATTATGATGACCCCAGAAGATGTGTTGCAATGGAGTTTCAAGTTTCTTTGCCAACGTCACCATTAGCATAAAACTATGTGCCAGTTAAAACTCCATATTTTTAACTTTAAGACGGTTATTTACCAAGACAATGACTCATTAATTGTCTCTGCAATAAGAAATATCCCCATTAATTATGAATGAGCAATGAATGACAGTAGAACCTGTTTTACAATGGACATTATGAATCAACTTTTGGACTTCATTTACCATTTCATGCAGAAATAAACAATCTCTATAATTACACTAGCCATTACTCTCCCACGTTTTTATTTTGTTTTATAATTTGTGTTTCCACTAACTTCTATGCAAAAAGTACACAAGCAAACAAATTTGCAGAAGAAGTATACTCTTTGAACTTTGACAAAGCAAGGTACAACCCACACAGCCGAACAAATTTACAGTGTGCTAGACTTGGGCAATTGTTCTCCATCACTCTCATCTTCTCCACCATTTCCCTTGTGGAGCATTAGACACAAGTACAAATGGTCCATGTGTGCAACACAGAATCACTCCACATCCATATATGAACATAAAAGTTATTTACCATAATCGTTTGGTAGTATCAAATCCAATTACTAAGCTACCTTTTCTAAAAAAAAAAAGTTAAATCATATGATACAGAACGTACTACGTACCTAGAGCGAGAAACATCATAGATCTGTCCCTTGATGGCCATGAGTAAGGGCTTGTTCGGATCAGAACCATCATAAGCTCTGAGGTCCTCCTCGGTAACATCGCCAAGCTGTACCGGCTCACGCACAACAAACTCATTGGATTTTTTGACCGCCACATAATCTTCGGCTGCCACGAACATGCTGCACACCACCTTGTAAGTCACTACCATCAGCGCCGCTATGGTGAAGAACGTCGCCGGCGACAGCCCCGTGTAGTGGTTGATCGTTTCCGTTAGAATGGACCATAGAGCCATTCCGCTAGGGATTGTTAGGGTTTTGAATTTGGGAAACAGAGAGTTGAAGTGATGAATGGAAGACTCTCTGCCTAACAAACTCGATTAACTCTGGGGGGAAAAGGGTGTTGGTCCTGGTGTTGGTGGGTTCTTGCGAGAGGTAAATAAGTAAATTTAGAACTAGTAGTAGGTAATGCTCAGGTGTGTGTCTTTGAATTGAAGTTATATTCACACCCGTGTACTGTTCATAGATGAGCAGCGATGCTGATGTATCAAATATTGTCTCTGTTTATCATGGCTTAAAATTTTGATAAAAATTAAAATTAAAATTAAAATCAAAAATTAATTTTGTCAATCATATCTTTTATTAACTTTTATCAAAAGCTATTAATAATTCTTAAAATCAAATCCACAAACCGGGCCAAGCCTTGGTCAAGTGTAAAGCAAACCAAAAGGAAACAGAAGCATAGAAGACTCGTCTAAAGCTAGCAAACCCATTCAGCTATTTATAGCCTATCAATAAAAGGCACGTGAGCCCATGAATATATCTTGACTTCTAAGTGAATCAGATGTGAAGTAGCCAACAACTACCATTTTTTCAAAATGATCAAATTACTCCAATAATTGGAGAAAAATCCTTATTATTTGAAGAGAAATGCGTGCAATTCAAATATCTCTCTTTCAAATAGTCAATTCATCTCTAGCTCCGATTTAAGCATCAAAACTAGTACGATTTGAAAGTGAAAGTCCTGATTAGATGGTAGAATTTGTTGTTCTGATTACCAAGTAGATATTACTAGAACGTCAGTTTTAAAAATTTATCCCAAGTAATATAAAGATTCTCATTGAAAAAAAAAAGGACCCAGGAAAATATAACCCTTACATAGGAATGTTATAGAAGAAAAAAATGAATTTCACCACTTGTTTCCCCCATGGTCCTATATTTTGCAGGATACCAAGAGGCCCAGAGAAATTTCACTTGACCATTAGATGTCTATACCTGTCACTTGAAATGTACACTATAAAGATTATGTAGGTAATCTCGACTGAGGATTACAGCTAAGTCATCTTCACTAGCAATGCACCAATGACAAGAAAACCACCCATCTTTTCTTAATTTAGTTCTTCACAGTGTTTTTATCGTCATTTTCCTTCCTGCAGTCGAGCTGCAAATGCTCAATCGCATCCAGACAGTCCAAGTTAGATATTGTTTCGTCGTTACATGTAGAATCACCTTCATCCGAGGCATTAGAACCAACGTCTGAGATTGATGATTCGGATTGCTGTAACTCAGACATGACACTCATTTGATCGGAGTTTGATGCATCACTTGCATCACACATCTTTTTCTCTTCTTCCTTCATGCGTTTTGCATAAGCTTGATAGCTGAAATTTTCGGTACTTTTCCCACCGAAGGCAGACTCCAGCTTGTCCATTTCGAAGAGAGCTTCCATTATCTTCAAACTCTGAGGCTGGTCTGAGTAAACAAACTTTACTTTTTTGTACGTCTTATGCTCAAGAAATGGTTTCACCAACTGCAAGTTCAACATAAGGAACGAAAAAATTATATCTGATGCAATAAAGAAACTGAATGTCTTCCAAAAAAAAAAAAAAAAAAAAAAAGGGACTGTATTGTAACCTACCAACCAAAAGGACTCAAAGACTTTTGGTGGATTGTAGAGGATCGCAAGACCAAGCCTCTCTGGGTAACGATCCTGCAACACGCGAGCTGTTTCTCGAGTTACCTTCACTGATAAGCAACCCATGTTCCACCCTTGAAAGTCAATTAACCATACCATCTGCTCCTGTCCTGGATTCAGATTCCAAATAGCATTCTCCATGCAATATACCAAGTACTTAATTTGCCCTTCAACAGCTTGTGTATTCTGACCCATAGAAGACATAATATAACAAAATAAGAAAGCAACAAATGCGATTGTAGTAATGCAGCGGCAAAGGAATAAAATGATATTGCTATTTGTGATGGAATATTTATTATGAGCATGTGTGGCTATGCTAAATAGTTGCTTTATAAAATATAACTTTCTAGAAAAGTTTTGTAAGAAAACTAACATTGGAAATCATGTTTGGCAAATATCTTAAAAGAAAATTTGACTAACAAATTAACACATCCAAACACGCTCTATAAGTTCTCTTACCTGGAATCCAGGTCTCATGACGAGTACAGACCTTCCGAACTTGTCAAGATAATTAGCTCTGTAGATTTTCCCTGTCTCAGCTTCATGAGCAATATCCTCCTAATCAAGAAAATAAACGACTTCAAAAACACATGATTAGAACATGAGGGAATCGTGATTGGGCATGAAAATAGTTTAATTCTTCCTATGAATTACCAAATGTGTGCTGTGGGAAAAAAAAATAATAATAAAATTATATATATATATATATATATATATAGAGAGAGAGAGAGAGAGAGAGAGAGCAAAGAACTAGTTTGTGGAAAAAGAATATGCACAAAGATCCTTTTTTTTTTCCCCTTTATTTTCAAGAGGTATACACAAATTGGACTGGCCTTACAAATAAATCACCACGGCAAGAACTCCTCTCTAGGTTCCTCACCTAAAATCCAACTTCAGCAGGTTTCCCTACACAGGATGCCAAATGTTGCAGGTCCACCCCCTTATGTGCACTCCTCACCAACTCCATCCAGGTAATTCACTAGATTCATTGCACGGCAACAAAAACAACAGGGAGAAAGTCTAACCACCAGCTTTGCAGATTCAAATTTAAGGGCACATGGTCTGGATTGAAAATATACATATAGCTCGACATCAGGAATGAGTATGTCAATAACCACAAAGTTGTGACACAAGCCTTCGAGAGTGCAAGGGTATTGGTTCCTTCAGTATTTTAGCATAAGTACCTAATATAGTCTGACATCTGGAATCAATGAGTTTTCAATGAATGGGCGTAGGTGGTATTGGTTCTTTCACTATGTTACATAAGTCCCTACAATTTGAGACAGTTTTGCCTTGTGTCTTCAATGATATTCAATGTATCTGGAATCCTCTCTGGATGTTTATTAGCTAAAGGGTCCAGATTGATGCACAGAAAAGTAAAAATATCTAACTTGGATACAGAAACAAAATATATCTGCTCTTTTCTCATTGGGGAAAAGTGAATGTTGATCGAGAGGGCATGCATGGATTATGGTTTCTGTACCAGGATATTCTGCTTAATTACATTAGTCCATACTTATAGCTTAAGCTTTTTAGTGAAACGACTTAAAACCTGAAGATGGGATATGGAAAGTAGGCATGCATACCCATCGGATCTTCTCTGGCTTGTATTCCAGCCACCATTTAAGGGCCTCTTTCAGCATCTTGCTTGCTTTCTTTGTATTCCAGTTCCTTGCCCTGAGAAATCTTAATATTGATGCGTCGGAACATAGAGTTGGAAATTTATTTGCTACAGGACCAATCAACTTTCTGATTTCATTGATCTGGATTGCAAAGAATCAAATCAGTTCAACAAGTTCAGAAAACCTCTGGCATAGATTTGTGTGTTTCAAAATGCTAACTTCAAGTTTTAGCACCAAAATCAACAATGAGAAAATATAGGATAGATAGAAAGATTTCTGAAATTCAATGGGAAAAAATTATTTGATGAACTAGTTAATGAAGTAAAAAAGTACCATGTAATAGATATATCAGTTAAATTCGCATTTTACATAAGATTATAAGAAACAATTCAGTGCAGTGCAGCTTAATTTGCTATCAGTATAAGATTATAAGACAAATTTATGCATTCCAAATTTCAGAGAGAAAAGATAACATTTAACAATAACTAATATACCCAGACATCCTCCTTGAACTGCAATATTTTCCTATTAACAATATCCACAAAACAATTTACAGTCTTAATTGCCTACAAATACGGTGAAGCCGTGATAAGACATCAAGATTAATGTCTGTCAAGGTACCTTAGAAAGTATACAAAAGTTGCAACTGAAGAAGTCAGGGGAGAAAGTGTGAATTCGAAGTAAGCAAACGATAGTTAATGGTTTATATTTGTCCTAAATTTTGGCTGAAAATCCACATTTAATTAAGTCAGATAGCATGTAGATTCACATAAACACAAAAAGGGTTCTTCACTAACAGGATACCGATACATGTTAGAAGTAGATCAAAAAAATATTTTATATTCAGTAAATAAGATCAATATAATTTTATAAAGGAGAAAAGAAAATCATATACTACATAGAATATAATTAAGAACCTTGGCTTGCTCCTCCTCAGATGACAGAGCCTTCCTGACATCGCTTGCTTGTAACTTTTTGAACGACATATTTCTTCCACTTTCCAGTGAGATTACAGCCACCTGTGATTCGAAGACTCTATTCTCATTGCAGAACATACTTTCAATTAGCACAATATCAAAAGCAATGACAGATTTAAAGCAGAAACATACAGATCTGGGGTGCTGTATCAGAATTACAATATTTCATACTGGTAACCAATGAAGATTGTGTCCAGCTTCAGACAAATGACATATATGGATCAGTTAGCAAGAGATTTTTATTCATTTTGACGCAAGAAATCATCAGAGATATTAGACTGATATTTCAACAGTAATTATGTTGCTGTAGAAGTCAAATGATACTATTACAAAAAATAAAAAATAAAAATTAAGAGCTCCCATGTGTAGGAATAAATTGAAATATATGGAGTTGAAGATTCCATATATTTGGAAAACATTTTAATTACATATCGTGTTGGATAAAATATTAGTGGATGAATACCGGATTAACAAATATCGGATGGAAACATACCAAATTTGCAACTTACCGGATTTAAACATACCGTATATACAATGAACTTAGATACCGATTTTGCATAAACCATATATGCAGTGAACTTAGATACTATCCAAAATATAGCAGATTAAATTCCAATAAAACAAAACGAGTGAAACTAATTAGCCAAAAGCAAGTAATCAAAATAAATTTGAAACGAGGCATATGTGAACACAGTTTCTTTAATACAGATTTGCCCCCTCACTGTAGGTGCTTGAGTATTACTTCAGACGTTTGTCTCCCAAGATACAACAGAGGAACGGTAGAATTTGAGAACCTCAAATGCTATTCTCCCGAACTGAACTTGTGTCAGAATAGTATCACCAAAAAAAAAAAAAAAAAAATTCGAACAGGACCAGAAACTATTTAACTATGCAGTATGCAGAAAAAATTATGTGAATTTTTTCTTCTTGCTCGTGTGGAATAGTAGAAAACGGGTTGCATGTATAGGCTTAACCGCCATGAGTGCCATTAACTCGTATATAATGAAAATGAATATTGGAGTTTCGACAATTTTGGAATTTAAAAGGTCGGTTGGAGGAAAATTTGGCAAAACGTAAGCTCTCATAAGGGGCCAATTTTTCAACGTCCGAAACCTATTTCGATTCGATTTGCCCCCTGCGCACGCACGTAGAGAGAGCCTCTATGCTATACATAATCACACCCTTCCAAAATGCAATCCTATATAAAGTGGTATTTGTCTTCATTCTTTTCCTATATAGCACAAACCTTAATTGGTTTCCGTCCAACACATAACTTCCTGTCAATTGGCACACTAAGAACTCCAATTTCTCATTCATCGGAACATTGTTTTTGGCAAGTAAATATATGATTTCGATGTTTGGGTCCCACTCAAATTTTATGCCAAAGTCAGTCATTCAACCCATTTTTCCAACATATCGGATATCTCTGAGTTCCAATTATTAGGAAAGATGCACTTAAAATGAATAACAGGTTGCATGTCGAGTCAGATAAGTTCCATTTTATTTCCTCATTGACTTTCAGAAGTCCCAGCAGCACATGACATGAACCAGTTATTGACTCAGAAAAAACAGTTCGGACAGGGCCAAAAAACTGTTCGAACAGGGCCATGTGGGCCCTGTCCGGCTAGCAAATCCGTATTGACTTAAAGGCAAAGAAAGAACAGGTAAAAAGCTTAATTTCTATAGGCTGTTGATGAAGAGCAGGCATAATTTAATCCTAATAAATTAGACGGTAAGAATTTATGAGGACGGATATGTTCTAATTAGTAACTTCTACCTTTATTCTTTCCTTCCTGTCAACATTTTCAGAGGTACCCGAAGATTCATTAAAAAATATAACATAAAGTGATGATGCATCTAAATGGCAAATGAGACTACGATAACCAGAAAATAACCAAGAAATAGTCCTTAAATTCGCACGAGAAATGAGATGAGTCAAGTTCTGCATTCTAAGAATTACAAGTTTAGCTCTATCAACAAAATTACAATAAAAGAGAGAAGCAATATTATATGTTCATTGGGCATATTAGGCTGCACGCAAGCGACAGAATCAAACAACCACGCCTGAAAGCATAAGCAATTAAAGAAGGGAAATAGGAAATTGAGGAAAATTGAATTTTAATCAGAGCCAAACATCCTATAAATCCTATCTACAAATTTCCATGTAAAAATTAGAACTGATAAATTAATACAAATGTCCACATCTAATCAATTGAATTAATTGATCGTCCATTGGTTGTAATCATTTACATAAACCACTTTTGCTAAGATCGAGCAAATCACAAATTATAGACATCTATGAAGAAGAGAGATGAGGGGAGATGCGTACTGAAGTCTAGTGCACCGCGATAATGAGAAAATTATTCAGCGTGATTGACAAATGAAGAAGAAAAAGTCAGAGTGCATGGAAAAAATGGCTATGGCGATTTGATGCCGTTCAGCTGTTCCTGAACCTGCGGTTAAGCTGACATCTGGCACGAGAACCGATAAATATAACAAGGAAATTGCATTTCACCCCCTCAAATTGTGACTAATTACCTTCTACGGTTCTACCGCTTATATCGAACCATGATACAAATTGCATGTTTGCCACGTTGTATTGGACGAGGTTACACAATTGACCTTGCCAATTATGTACAAAGTGATGCGATATTAAACTGTGTTGAACACTATAACGAATAAATTTTATTTTATTATTATTATTATTATTATTTTATTTTATTTTTGTCTTTATCATGTTAAGAACTTTTTTGGAATTGTTTATAACTTGCTGAGATTATAAGTTGATTGGATATTAATTGTGGATAAGTACGTTTGGATCATATGAGATGGGTAGACTTTGACAAATTGTAAATTAAGAAAATCCATGCACTTATTATTCTAAGTTTGGAACAAAAATTTGCCTCGATGCATTTTGTTAGTAAAATCTGAATACTTTTCTTGTTTGGTATATAGTAGCAAAGATCATGAGTTTACTTAGAATTGAGAATAATTTTTAGATACGAAGGGAAGTGGTGCAAATCGCTCGTCAACTCGACTCATCCCACTAACAAGCCAAGGATTGATTCACTTGTACAAATCGCTCGAGAATTGATGACTCATCAAAATGAGTGAGCCCCCACCAAGGAACGAGCTAGACCACACTTCTATGTTTAGATCATTAAGCTTAAATGGGTTCATCTTCCTTGAAATGCAATCAAATTCACTACTCTTGAAAAATCTAACCATTGTACCAAAAAACTATAGTAGAGTCAACTGCAATAAGCTAATCACATATATTAATCATGGTTTGCACGATGGGGTCTCTATTAGCCCCTGTGTAACCCCCATTACGTGGAAAAATTAATGGGTGGAATAGTTTTTTTTTTAAATGAGTGGTTGAAAAAGAATGAAATATTTTCGATTTACGTGTAATATTATTTTATAAAAGAATGTGTGGTTAAAAATAGGAGAGAAAAATGGAATTTAATGTAATGGAGCTCAAACAGGGGCTAATTTCAATCTTGATCTAGCTCAATCTCTAAGGAAAAGACCTTATAGTTCGATCGCAATTAATTACTAAATTTTCATGGGTAACTTGAACGTGTCATATAAACATAAAGATATTATAGTTTTGTTTTCAGATTGATGTGATTTCAGTAGAATTATAAGAGAGATGTGCAATAATATACGTGTGTGTAGATTGAAATCGAATCTTTAGTAAATTTTGATAAAAATTAATGAAATACGTGGTTAAAAAGTTGTGGGCCAATGAAATATATAGTTAAATTTAATTATTGACTTAAATTAAAATTAAAATTTTAATCCAAATTCCAAACCAAAAAGATCTTAAAGATAATAGTGGTTTGGTTGGTGTGCGAGGCAAATGTGCAGTGAAAGGTGTGGTCCTCTCCTGCAAATCACAATTTACAGGGAAAAGAGAGAGTTAAAAGCTCTCGATCCCTGAAAAGTAATGATCATCCTCATTAACATTCCCATCCTACCCGACAATGTTGCGATTATAATAAGCTTCGCAGTGTTTGTACGTTGTACTGTGATCTTAAGAGTCCTTAAAAAACCAGCTGTCTGATCTTTTTGTGATCAACGGATTGCTATTATAAGAGAATCCCATTCATCAGATTTTTGTAAAAAGAAGGTAAATCGTTATGAAAGATTCGTGAATAATAGTAAAACTAATTTCCATTCAAAAGGAAAGGAATAAAAGATCCCGACTTTTCCTTTAGCGCATTCTCCTTTTCATTTCTATGCTTTTCGGTAACCACAAATCACCCTCCCTCTCTCTCTCTCTCTACACAATTTAACAGTACAAGTACAAGCTGTAACCGAGGATTAAAAGGCTGGAAATTGTAAAGCAGAGGAATTGCAATATACTTATTGCTGTTTGTTTTCCTGTAAATTTGATCTCTCTGTTTTTAGCTGGAATAGAGCTTCTTTATAATTGTTTTCATTTTGTTTCTCCGGGGATTTTTCTTTACATTCAAATTATTCTTATATTCTCTGCATTGGGTTTTTCAGGAACTGAGTGAATCATAATCTAATTATTGGAAGTCCCGTTTGATTGATTTCATTAAGGTGAGTTTTGATAATGTACCTTCTAATTTTGATTCCTTTTACGTGCTATTTTTTCCTGGGAAATTGACGTGGCTTTGATCTAACGGGAAATTTTTATTGGGTTGTTTTTGAATTATGTTAGCGTGCAGAAATGAAAGGAAATTTCATTCTCTAAGAGTGGGAATAAAAGAAACTGGTTTTCGATTAATAGGAATTGGAGTTGAAATGAGGAAAGGTTTGATCTGTACAATCAGTGGGGGTTTGAGATCAGTTTGCAATCATCCATTTCTTGTTGGTTTTGTGGTTTTCTTAGTATTCCTGTATAGATCGTCTCCTTTTGTATTTTCTTTATTGGTTTATGCATCCCCTGTTCTTGTATGCACTGCAATTTTGCTTGGAACCCTTTTAAGTTTTGGGGAATTAAACCTACCTGATGTCGAAATAGAGGAGAAAATAACCCACGAGGCTGTATCTTTGAAAGCCGGGTTATCAGGGGGTACTACTCTTGTTGAGAGAAATGAGAGTTTCTCCGTGGAGAGAGACGCAGAAAATGGAAGGAATGTAGTAAAGCAATCAATTGATGAATCAAGTACAACAGCAGGAAAGATCGGTGTGATTGACAGGGAGAACAATTTGGATGATTCGACATCATTAGTTGAGGAGAAGCCCCGTGAAACCGGATTGGAGAATGGGATAATTGATGGAGAAAACAGAGAATCAGATGTTTTGAGAGATGAGCAGAACAGTGAAATGCGTGAAGTGACACTTGGTAATGGGGAAGTCATGCAGAATCTGTATTCTTCAATTCGAGAGGAGAATGATGAATATCTTGAATTGGATGATGCTAAATCAGAAGCAGATTCTTTCGATTCCAAGAGAGTATATGTGGATCCTCTGGATTCACCTCCCCGTACATCTTGGAAACGGGTAGAAGAGGAAGAAGAAAAGGAAGAAGAGACGGAGGAGGACGAGACTATAGATTCTGGGTCTGGTGGGGATGAGAGTTCCTCTCCAGATGCTTCCATGACTGACATAATTCCGATGCTTGATGAGCTTCACCCACTTCTGGACGAAGATGCTCCCCTACCCATTCAATCGTCCCCTGATGGATCTGACTCATCGTCAGTATGTTCTCCAAAATCTATCACTAGCAGTCAAGAGTTGGATGATGAGATCGATAATCCAGCAGACATAGAAGTTGAGGATGATGACAATCAAGATGTTGAGGATGAAGAAGAGAAACTCTCAAAGTCTGCCATCACATGGACAGAAGAAGACCAAAAGAATCTAATGGATCTTGGAAGTTCTGAGATTGAAAGGAACCAGCAGTTGGAGAAATTACTAGCAAGGAGGAAAGCTCGGGAAAAAATGAGTATGGTGTTGGAAAAGGACTTGATTGACTTTGAAAGTTCTGATCTTGCATTCAATATTGCGCCCATTTCAACAACGAGACAAAACCCATTTGACCTTCCTCGTGATTCTTATGATAATTTAGGGCTACCTCCTGTACCTGGTTCTGCTCCATCTGTTTTAATACCAAGGCAAAACCCTTTTGATATTCCATACAGCTCAATGGAAGATAAGACAAATCTTAGGGGAGATGGTTTTCAAGAGGAGTTTATGACATTTCAATCAAGCAAGCCATTTTTCCAAAAAGTTGATGTGGAACCATCTTTTTCTGAGGCCAACAGGCACGGGAGACAAGATATAAACTTAAGGCCATACTGCTTTCCAGAGCTGGCAGTTTCAGAAGAATCAAGCTATTCAGAATTTCTGGGACAATCGAATGAACTTAGGAACTCTAAGGCTAGTTCTGTTCAGGTAACAGAATCAATTGATTCTGCTGGGGATCTGGAAGATGGAAAACTCGCAGAAGTGCATATTTCTCAGGAAGTGGTCACATCTCGGGGACCAGAGCTGATTTCCACAATGACAGAAGTCGTTGACACAAATTTACCACAGGAACCAGAGTTGACCTCTAAGATAGAGCAAATTTCCGAGAATGTTGGGCACGGAAGCCAGTCATCTGAAGAAGAAGACGAGTCTTTGGACTTGGGACAAGTCAAGAAGAGAGATGTTGAAGCTCAATTAGGCGATGCCCAAATTCATTATGAAGAACAAAGTGTGGCCCAAGTTCAAAAAAGGGAATTTGAGTCAAAAGCAGAAGCTGATGAACAGAGATACAGTAGAGTCTCGAGCTCTTCATCATCGTCCGAAGGGAGTGAAAAGGTCTTCACTGAAGCAGCAGGTGAAGGGTCATCGGTATTAGATGAAGGGAGAGATGGTGTTGCTGAAGAGCCACGAATCTCAACCCGGCCTCCATTAGAAAGTACCGATCTCAATATTACAAGTGAATTGGTTAATGATATTCCACATAAGCAACCTGTTTACGATTCAAGTCCCCCAGAAGTTAGAAAAAACCTTTCTTCCTCCTCTATGTCTTCTGATGTGATGGATATGGATTTTCTGCCAGTGCTGGTTAAGCAGACTGTTCCCATAACCCGGAGAGACTCTGAAGAGAGTGATCAAGAACTGCAGGAGAATACTCCTAATACTGTTGAGATGCCGCCTGAATCGTCAAATCTGCATCAAGTAAATGAAAATGATTCGGGTCCAAAGTTTGTTATGGGAATAAGAGAGCATGATATTGTAAACTCTGATATATCAGGAGTTGTCCAGAGATCCGACAGTGCAGGTGCTTCAGTGGAAGGAAATCATTCATATCAACTTGACGATCAGCATACAGAGAGTCAAGTTTCTAGTGCAAGTTGTGATGCAGACGATAATGTCATTCCCCATGTTGCCGGGGATCATACTGGGAAGTCCGTGTCCTACTTTTCTGAAGATCAAAACTTAGATAGACCAGATGGCGATAGACATTCACTGGTTTCTGATGCTAATCTTGATGAGGTTGTTTATCATGAAAATGAGAAGCCGATTTCCGCAAATTATACTGACGGAAAAGCTATCTCTCACTCTGTTGATGATCTGGCTTCCTCAAATAAATCAGTGAATGAACAGCCTTTCAACCACCATAGTGAAGTCCAGGTAAGTTTACCTGTTTGGTACCGAACTTTTTCTCATCTTCCGTATAATCTTTAATCCACTTTACGCTGAATCCTGCTAATAGATCCTGCCGTTACTCAAGTACTATATGGCTAATGGGAAGTTTGTGTGAGCATTATTCCAACGCCTGAATCTAACTTTCTAAGCAAGAAAATCTCAGGTCAAAAAATCTGGTATTTTTGCCATTCTATATGCACCTAAATAACTCAGGCAGGAGTATTGAATAATTGGTTCTTGACCATGAGCACAATGTTCAAATTTCAATGGTTTGAATTGAAATGCATATTTGCCCACTTTGTCTGCTTAATATTTAAAAAAAAAAAAAAATTGTTTCACATCTTCATTGTATGATGAACTAAAATTTCCCAATTACGAACCACTGAGTGTGACATATATTGCCAGACATGGAGATTGGTTTGTTTAATGGACTTCGGAGTATCAACATGGAATTCCCCCCTTCTCCAAGTGTTTAAGGAATCTAGGATCTTGGAAGAGCATGAAGTTTTTATAGCAGAATTGAATATTCAGAAATGACAAGAAAGATTAAGTATTTGTTTTTCCATACATTCGACGAACTTAAATATTTTGGAATGGTAAATCTGTTGAGATTAATAGCAATTACATCCTCAAATGGCTTGAAATATAAACAGCTTCATTCTCTACTTTGGCTTCATGGCATTCACTGTATTTGGGTATTGTATGTAAGTTCTAGGATATTGCAAGCTTGTATTCCTCGACTTTGCTTGAAGTAGGATTAACACTTTACGTAGAACAGTCCTTATTTTCTTTCACACTCTTATTTTCCTATATTAAGGTCGGTGATCCACGATTACTCTAGAGACTAATATATTAAAGACTGGTATCGTCAATTGATATTCCAGATTCTCTCTTAGATACAAAAGAATTTATTGAATGAGTTTGGTTAATTTTATTGTTTCAGTTATATTGCTCCGAGATTCATATTAGCTTTGATTGCGGCATTATGGTGCTTCCCATAAAGCATTGATTTTTGAGGAAATTGTCTCACTCTTTTATCTTATTTTCATATAATAAAGGATGCTCCAAACATCCCTGTCGAGTCAAATGAGGAAGTAATAACTATGGACAACCTGAATATCCCAGAGATTCCAGAGTTTGATCGTGAAGTTTCACCAAGTGTCAACTCTCCATCAAGTCCTGAATTTATTTCCATCCCGTCTAATGATTCTGAGGCCACAGCCCCTCCAGGTTTATTGTACTCAGAAAAGTGCACTGGTGGTGAAGCCACTAGTTCTTGTGTTGATGTGCAGACAATTACAGAGTTTGCAGAGGAGATCAAGGAAATTGATGAAGTATTTCTGTCCGAATTAGATAGCACAGGTGATTTCAATGTCCACGAAAGGGGATCAAGCTCAACTGAGTTTGAAAAGCATGTAGACAGTGGTCAAGAAAGCTTGTCTTTGGCACACGAAACTGGAAATATGAGTACAAGAGAGGTTAACTCCAGTGAAGTGAAAGAAACAGAACATGCAATGGATTCAGAGATCTTGAGGGAGGAGATTGACATACTTGAAAAGGCAATGGAATCTACTTCTGAACTACAAACATCTGCAACGAATGCAATTGGACATAATGATTTATCTGAAAGAGAGTTCAGTGGAAGTGACAACCAGAATTCTCTTGATCCGAGACAAGACAAGCTACACCCACCGGAAAATGAAACTACTATGGTAGATCATAATTTGACTCTTGAAGATTTGAACTCTGGGATGCCTTTAAGTGATGCAAAATCTGTAGAAGATATTGATTCTGATTTCGAGAAATCTGAACTAACATCAGTGGAAACTGAAATCATTGACAAAGAGATTGAGAAGCCTGTCGTTATTGAGCCGACCCAGGAAAAGTTGGTTCTTGAAGAAACCATAGCTGGACGTTCCGAGGGAGAGATACTGCACAGAAATTCAAGTCATGCAAAAACTGATATTGACACACCAGTTCTTGAAGTTAGATCAATGGAAGGGGTTACTTTGGATCATATGCAAGTTCACAATGGCAATGTTGAGAGTCGTACAATTTCTGATTCAGCTGATAATGTTTTGCATGTGGTGGATTCAAGAGAAATACGAGGAACAACTTCGGAGTTGCATTTTGAGGAACCAATACCTTCAGAGTTCAATGGTATGGCCCCAAATCAATCCGAAGAGGGTAATATGGAGAAACAACTGGGTCCAAAGTCCGAAGATGGAACAGCAGAAGTTGAGGCATGCGAAGCAGGTTCGTCTAAGGATTTGGAATTGGGTGTAAAAGAACCTGATGTACAAGAGATAAAGACAGTCCCGGCTGAAAATCCAGATCATGAAGTTGAAATACACAGAGACTCAAATTCAACTACATCTGTTGAAGGAAAGAGGAGAAATTCCCAGAAGTCAAGCTCAAGCTCAAGCTCGAGCTCGAGTGATTCTTGCAGCCAATAAGAAGGCAAAGGAAATCCCAAAAAGAATCGATTCTGAGGTCCCTATTTTATCTTGTTAACTTGAAGGATAGTGGTTTTTTTCCTTGTGTGTGGCTTTATTTGATCAGAAGATGGTTCCTTCAAGAATGAGTTTCCATTTATTTTGTTGAAGTTGTGAGTTTTTGTTAGATTTTAGTCCAAGTTTCTTTTGTGGGCAGTCAGGTGACAAACTTTTTTTAACCTAGCACGCTGTAAACTGTAATTTTTGCTGTTCTTGAGTGAGTGTTCTTTAAAATATCTTCAGACACCATTTTGTTTATGAGGCAGAAAAAGCTTGTTTTGACTGTTGAAATTGTAAACGGCATCTCATCCAAAAGTTCAATTTTTGAGTTTAATTGTATACCACCACATAGAATAAACTTCGAAAATTGATCATAGTGGGATAATTTTACAGATTCGGCACCATTCATAGTTGATACAACAACCTACACTGGAAACTAGTATGAGTAACAACTTACAACACTAGGTATCTGAAGGCACAATACACAACTTTTTTTACATATTTAGGAAAAGCACCATTCAGAACAACTGCAAATAGTACCAAATTCACTGTTTTTTATGAGCAGTTTGTGTCGTAACTTGCCAATCCCTGCAACTCGGGACCCTCCAGACGAGGATTGTTCTCAAAGCTGCACATAGGAAAAACAAAATGGGGATCAATAACCAAGTATAAGGGGATGGGTGCTCCGGACTATTCTAAATAAATAAAGGAGAACCAAGAAGGAGCATAATTTGCTAACACCAAATAACATTACATTAACTTAGTCATTTTGATTTGAGTGGGCCATACGTATTGCACAGAGAGAATTTTAGCCAAAACTTCAAATGCAACAATACTTAAAAAGAGTCAACTTTCACTATAACGGAACATTTAAGACCTTCCACCTGTTCTTCACATAGGGATGCACAGTTAACTCAAAGTGAGACCAAATATTAACCGAGATAAAATTTGGAATGAGAAACTTTCATATCACATCAAGTTGTCAAGATTATCATTTGATAAATTGACAGTTTAAACCAGAGGAAGGAATGATAGGGTGTAATTTTGTACATCAATAAATAAGATTTGATGCACTCAAGAATCAAACATTTCGCAATGGTGGAAACAGAGTCAAGATATCAAAAAGAATCAGATGGAAAAATCATTTCAAACAAAACCAATGGTTATGGATGTTTAGAGAACAATATAAATCAGCATCTTACTTGTTTAGGGGGATGTGCTCAAATGGACCAGTAGTAGGTATTGTACCGCATAAGTTGTTACTTGAGACATCCCTGGAAAAACAAGTGCAAATATTTTGTGAGCATCCTGCGCTTCATCAAGTATCAACATTTTACATAATAACATTTTACATAATAGTATACATCTTAAGCACTCACACAACTTTCAAGCTAGATATACTAGCAAGTGCACTTGGGATTGGCCCCGTTAGCTGATTATCATTAAGACGCCTGTCAAAGTACAGAAAAAGTTATTGACTTCAAATAAAATGCTCGATTAATTTGCAAACTTGCATGCAGCGTGCACATACATTTCTATAAAATGAGCAAGAAAGGGAAGGGTATGAATGGGGAAAGAAAAGGGGGAGAGATATTTGCTACTAATTGGATAAGTAAATGACCAAATCTTAAAGGGAAATATTTTGGATTGCAACAAAAACCACAAGCTAATCCTCATTCACAATTCTCTAGGGTCGGCTTTATGAATTCTGGATGGCTACAAAAACAAAAAACGAACTGAGGTATTAGGGTAGGACAGGGGTATTAATCTATCACCCATCACCAAACCACAATGGAACATTTGGATTAGACAAATGATAGTGTGATATAGTATCAACTCACAAGAAGACAAGAAATTTCAATTTTCCCAATACTGGAGGTATTGTTCCCGAGATGTTGTTGTTGTATAGATCCAAACTTATTAAGCTCTTCAGGTTACCAAGCTCAACCGGAATTGACCCATGAATGTTATTCTTGTAAAGCTCCCTGCAAAATAAAAAAGTCAGCTTTCAGTATCCTCAAATGCATGTAAAGATACCTACTGGGACATGGAAAAGGAACCATAAATGAAAAACATTTTTTAAAATAATTTAAAATATGTATCGGAAATTTTAAAAATATAAAAATATATAAAATAAATAAAACACATGTACCCAGTACGTATCCGAGGGCATCGGAGAGTATCCAAGCTTAGATATGTATCAATTAAAGGTACGTAATAAATTTACAAGTATCCGTAATTTTTAGATTGTTGTAGGCAACATTGTGTCACGGACAGCTTTGTTTATATAAAATATCACCGAAAGGTCAACCAAACGTATGTGCCAATAGCAAAATAGAAGGAAGAGTTCAATAATACTCACATATACTGGAGATGTTCAAGTTTCCCAAGCTCAGGCACCAGATGACCAGACAAATTTGAGTTTCCAAGGTCCCTGTAGACTCGTAACAAAATGATTCACGTCAGACTCATATGCATCACAAAGGAAAAGAAAAGTTAGCCTCTATATCCAATGAACAAGCTAGAATATGTGAATCTGAAGAAGAATGATATTCCATTTATTCACATGTCACAAGTGCATAAACATCAAAAGAGAATAATAACGTGTTACACCGTGAAAGCATAAAGAAATACGAGAATTCACAATGCGCTAGAATAACCTTGTTGATGGTCCTTTCCTCTAACATGGTTAATGTTATATAATATTTCATACCAAGCAAATCCTTAAGCGCTATCGCCTAGAACAAGGATCGATAAGATTTCTAGAGCTGAAGCAGGAATATGTTCTGCTATCTGGAGTAAAACTTAGTGGACTGACCAATTAAATAAAGTTTTTTTCCCTAAATTAAAGTAATTTTTAAGTCAAAGAAGGCTGTCATTCCTACTCCAATACGGAGCAGATCTTTTGTTGAGTAATTTAGAGGCATAATAATTTTAACGCCTATACTCAGACAAATCAGAAAGATTATTGTCAGCTCGAACCATAAACAAATTCCAAAATCGAAAGATATAACCTTCAGCTTAAATTCCAAGAAACAATTAATTGAATCGAACAGTATCTATCCATTCAAATATTTAACTGGGATGCTATCGATGAATGAACGAGTATATACGTACACGCGAGTGACGTGGTTGTCTTGGTTACATGTGATGTGGAACCAGGTGCACGGGTTGACGAGATTTGGATCCCAGCTCTGAAGCACGTTATCCGGGTCGGATAAACTCCGGCGCAAAGCGTACAGCGCGTCGCCCTCAGAGTTCCCCAATGCTTTAGGTGCCAACAGAGTACATATTATAGTTAGGGCTACAATTACAAACAAAATCCTCTCGGCCATGACTCGGATTCAAGCAATTTTGGTGTCAAGTTTTGGGGGTTTCAGTTGGAGTTGGATATTGCAGCAATTTTTGTGTGAGAGAAGAATTGATTTATGGAGAATCAATATTGGGAGCGGCAAGGAACAACGCGGTTAGAACATGGAGAAAATTTAATTAAAAAAAGCTCAACTTTCATGTAATATATATCATATTAGGTCCTTGACTTTGGTTTTCAATATGGATTTTTTATGAGTACATGAAAAATTTACAGAATTCATACAGGATTTTGAAATGGAAAAATTTTATCCGTCTTTGTATTATATTTTATTTTTCATCTTTAAATGATGTTTCGACACTTGTGTCTATAAAAAACTCTTCTACAGAAAACGGGTGGATAGGATTCATCGAAACATTTCCATATGTCATTTGGTACAAATAAGGTAAAGAAAATGTGTTAGCAGATACATTATCAAAGAGTTATGTACTTCTTACTTCTTTAGGTGTCAAATTGCAAGGATTTGAATATATTGAAGACATGTATGTTAATGATACGGAATTTTCTAATATATATTAAAAATAAAAATCATGCTAAATGAACCTTTAGTGCCTGCCTGCTTCTTCCTTTGATTAAAATTGAAATTCCAACCGTTTGAGCAACAAAAGTTGACCACTCCTCTCACATTCGGGCTCCACCTGCAACCTCTAACGGTCAGAAATTTGCTACTTAGCACAGGAAAATTGCCTCCAAATGGGTTATTAGTTGTTAAATGTATCGTTAAGGAAAATGTTAAATCAATCGATTTTATTTTGACTAAAAGAAAATGCGATGTATATAATTACGTGAGACCTTCATTAATACGGAGAAATTCGACTACAAATAGGAGTGGTGGATTTGCATTATTAGTCCTAAAAGAAAGAAAGAAAAAAATGATTGTTTCCTTGTGGATTAGGACTTGCGCAGATGAAATGAAAATAGACTTGTCTCAATCAACAAAAATATTTCCATTCATTTGACCTTTGAAAAAGTTTGGTGGAATTTCTCAAGTACTCTTTAATATAATTGCTCCACTTAGAAATTTTGACCTAGTCACAAATGATGGGCATTATAGTCTAGACATTGCCAATAATTGGTTAAAACTTGAAAGGAAAAAGATTGCAATTAATGGATTTGGTGGTGGGATAATAATTTTTGTTATAAATTAGAGGAATTAAACCTACCTGATGTCGAAATAGAGGAGAAAATAACCCACGAGGCTGTATCTTTGAAAGCCGGGTTATCAGGGGGTACTACTCTTGTTGAGAGAAATGAGAGTTTCTCCGTGGAGAGAGACGCAGAAAATGGAAGGAATGTAGTAAAGCAATCAATTGATGAATCAAGTACAACAGCAGGAAAGATCGGTGTGATTGACAGGGAGAACAATTTGGATGATTCGACATCATTAGTTGAGGAGAAGCCCCGTGAAACCGGATTGGAGAATGGGATAATTGATGGAGAAAACAGAGAATCAGATGTTTTGAGAGATGAGCAGAACAGTGAAATGCGTGAAGTGACACTTGGTAATGGGGAAGTCATGCAGAATCTGTATTCTTCAATTCGAGAGGAGAATGATGAATATCTTGAATTGGATGATGCTAAATCAGAAGCAGATTCTTTCGATTCCAAGAGAGTATATGTGGATCCTCTGGATTCACCTCCCCGTACATCTTGGAAACGGGTAGAAGAGGAAGAAGAAAAGGAAGAAGAGACGGAGGAGGACGAGACTATAGATTCTGGGTCTGGTGGGGATGAGAGTTCCTCTCCAGATGCTTCCATGACTGACATAATTCCGATGCTTGATGAGCTTCACCCACTTCTGGACGAAGATGCTCCCCTACCCATTCAATCGTCCCCTGATGGATCTGACTCATCGTCAGTATGTTCTCCAAAATCTATCACTAGCAGTCAAGAGTTGGATGATGAGATCGATAATCCAGCAGACATAGAAGTTGAGGATGATGACAATCAAGATGTTGAGGATGAAGAAGAGAAACTCTCAAAGTCTGCCATCACATGGACAGAAGAAGACCAAAAGAATCTAATGGATCTTGGAAGTTCTGAGATTGAAAGGAACCAGCAGTTGGAGAAATTACTAGCAAGGAGGAAAGCTCGGGAAAAAATGAGTATGGTGTTGGAAAAGGACTTGATTGACTTTGAAAGTTCTGATCTTGCATTCAATATTGCGCCCATTTCAACAACGAGACAAAACCCATTTGACCTTCCTCGTGATTCTTATGATAATTTAGGGCTACCTCCTGTACCTGGTTCTGCTCCATCTGTTTTAATACCAAGGCAAAACCCTTTTGATATTCCATACAGCTCAATGGAAGATAAGACAAATCTTAGGGGAGATGGTTTTCAAGAGGAGTTTATGACATTTCAATCAAGCAAGCCATTTTTCCAAAAAGTTGATGTGGAACCATCTTTTTCTGAGGCCAACAGGCACGGGAGACAAGATATAAACTTAAGGCCATACTGCTTTCCAGAGCTGGCAGTTTCAGAAGAATCAAGCTATTCAGAATTTCTGGGACAATCGAATGAACTTAGGAACTCTAAGGCTAGTTCTGTTCAGGTAACAGAATCAATTGATTCTGCTGGGGATCTGGAAGATGGAAAACTCGCAGAAGTGCATATTTCTCAGGAAGTGGTCACATCTCGGGGACCAGAGCTGATTTCCACAATGACAGAAGTCGTTGACACAAATTTACCACAGGAACCAGAGTTGACCTCTAAGATAGAGCAAATTTCCGAGAATGTTGGGCACGGAAGCCAGTCATCTGAAGAAGAAGACGAGTCTTTGGACTTGGGACAAGTCAAGAAGAGAGATGTTGAAGCTCAATTAGGCGATGCCCAAATTCATTATGAAGAACAAAGTGTGGCCCAAGTTCAAAAAAGGGAATTTGAGTCAAAAGCAGAAGCTGATGAACAGAGATACAGTAGAGTCTCGAGCTCTTCATCATCGTCCGAAGGGAGTGAAAAGGTCTTCACTGAAGCAGCAGGTGAAGGGTCATCGGTATTAGATGAAGGGAGAGATGGTGTTGCTGAAGAGCCACGAATCTCAACCCGGCCTCCATTAGAAAGTACCGATCTCAATATTACAAGTGAATTGGTTAATGATATTCCACATAAGCAACCTGTTTACGATTCAAGTCCCCCAGAAGTTAGAAAAAACCTTTCTTCCTCCTCTATGTCTTCTGATGTGATGGATATGGATTTTCTGCCAGTGCTGGTTAAGCAGACTGTTCCCATAACCCGGAGAGACTCTGAAGAGAGTGATCAAGAACTGCAGGAGAATACTCCTAATACTGTTGAGATGCCGCCTGAATCGTCAAATCTGCATCAAGTAAATGAAAATGATTCGGGTCCAAAGTTTGTTATGGGAATAAGAGAGCATGATATTGTAAACTCTGATATATCAGGAGTTGTCCAGAGATCCGACAGTGCAGGTGCTTCAGTGGAAGGAAATCATTCATATCAACTTGACGATCAGCATACAGAGAGTCAAGTTTCTAGTGCAAGTTGTGATGCAGACGATAATGTCATTCCCCATGTTGCCGGGGATCATACTGGGAAGTCCGTGTCCTACTTTTCTGAAGATCAAAACTTAGATAGACCAGATGGCGATAGACATTCACTGGTTTCTGATGCTAATCTTGATGAGGTTGTTTATCATGAAAATGAGAAGCCGATTTCCGCAAATTATACTGACGGAAAAGCTATCTCTCACTCTGTTGATGATCTGGCTTCCTCAAATAAATCAGTGAATGAACAGCCTTTCAACCACCATAGTGAAGTCCAGGTAAGTTTACCTGTTTGGTACCGAACTTTTTCTCATCTTCCGTATAATCTTTAATCCACTTTACGCTGAATCCTGCTAATAGATCCTGCCGTTACTCAAGTACTATATGGCTAATGGGAAGTTTGTGTGAGCATTATTCCAACGCCTGAATCTAACTTTCTAAGCAAGAAAATCTCAGGTCAAAAAATCTGGTATTTTTGCCATTCTATATGCACCTAAATAACTCAGGCAGGAGTATTGAATAATTGGTTCTTGACCATGAGCACAATGTTCAAATTTCAATGGTTTGAATTGAAATGCATATTTGCCCACTTTGTCTGCTTAATATTTAAAAAAAAAAAAAAATTGTTTCACATCTTCATTGTATGATGAACTAAAATTTCCCAATTACGAACCACTGAGTGTGACATATATTGCCAGACATGGAGATTGGTTTGTTTAATGGACTTCGGAGTATCAACATGGAATTCCCCCCTTCTCCAAGTGTTTAAGGAATCTAGGATCTTGGAAGAGCATGAAGTTTTTATAGCAGAATTGAATATTCAGAAATGACAAGAAAGATTAAGTATTTGTTTTTCCATACATTCGACGAACTTAAATATTTTGGAATGGTAAATCTGTTGAGATTAATAGCAATTACATCCTCAAATGGCTTGAAATATAAACAGCTTCATTCTCTACTTTGGCTTCATGGCATTCACTGTATTTGGGTATTGTATGTAAGTTCTAGGATATTGCAAGCTTGTATTCCTCGACTTTGCTTCAAGTAGGATTAACACTTTACGTAGAACAGTCCTTATTTTCTTTCACACTCTTATTTTCCTATATTAAGGTCGGTGATCCACGATTACTCTAGAGACTAATATATTAAAGACTGGTATCGTCAATTGATATTCCAGATTCTCTCTTAGATACAAAAGAATTTATTGAATGAGTTTGGTTAATTTTATTGTTTCAGTTATATTGCTCCGAGATTCATATTAGCTTTGATTGCGGCATTATGGTGCTTCCCATAAAGCATTGATTTTTGAGGAAATTGTCTCACTCTTTTATCTTATTTTCATATAATAAAGGATGCTCCAAACATCCCTGTCGAGTCAAATGAGGAAGTAATAACTATGGACAACCTGAATATCCCAGAGATTCCAGAGTTTGATCGTGAAGTTTCACCAAGTGTCAACTCTCCATCAAGTCCTGAATTTATTTCCATCCCGTCTAATGATTCTGAGGCCACAGCCCCTCCAGGTTTATTGTACTCAGAAAAGTGCACTGGTGGTGAAGCCACTAGTTCTTGTGTTGATGTGCAGACAATTACAGAGTTTGCAGAGGAGATCAAGGA